AGAGTGATCGTCAGGCTTTTATTTGCATATTTATTTGTGTAAATCTAACCAAAATTGGGCAAGTTACGCTTGTTGATTTTTTTTCAAAAAAAAATTCATTTTTTTTGCACACCACTGTATCTTATATATATATATAAATAGATATTACTTTATTTATAATTTATAATATTTACTTATTTTTATTTATTCTATTTAAGATTAATCGTTAATTATAATAATCAATTTATATAAAAAAATTTTTGATTTTAAAATTAAAAATTTTTAAATTAATATAATATTCAAAATTTATTAAATATAATTTATAATTATTTTTTATTTTATTAATATATATAAAATTATATATTTATCTTATATCAAATAAATATTAATATAAAATTAATATATATATATTATAATACATTATATCAATAATGCATTTGATCATAATCAAGATCTATTACTAAAATTTAATTAGCATTTAGTTATTTTGATCATGGTTAAATTAGCCAAATATCATATAATTTTGCCAATTTTTTGGTAAAATTTTTTTTTGCAAATTAAATAAATATAATTGAATAATAGATAATTATTAATTAAATAACTTGTTCAATTAAAATAAGTTTTGGTTTTTGAACACAGTTTTGAACAATTATTCAAAATATCAAATAGTTTAATTTCCTATCACTGATATATATATTAATTTTTTGTATTACTTTATAATACAGTTTCTTTATAACATCTCATTATATATTTTGAATAATCATTTATATATTATATAAATTTTATAATTAATAGAAAAATTTTGATAAATTAAAATTAATTTAATAATTTTAATCATATATATTTAATTATTATATTATATAAACTTGTAAAATAATTAGGATATTATTATACTATAGTTAAACTTAATAATAGTATTTTATTTATAATATAAAATATATTATATTTTTATTAATTATAATTTTAAATATACAAATTAAAAAATGATATGTACAATTATTATTACAATTCACAATATTATATTTTAAATTCAAATATTTAATTCATAATTAAATAAGTATAAAATATTTATATGAAAGCTTATCAATAAAAATCTAAAAAAAATATTTTTATGAATTAATATTAAAACTGAATTTATTTTACTAAAAAAATCTTATTTAACATATAAAGTAAAATTTTAATTATTTTTTAGATTTTCTTTTTTTCTATTGACAAACTTTCATATATATAAAATATTATAATTAAAATATATTTTTATTGATATATATAATTAAGTAATAAATTTTATAATATTACAATTTTACAAAATAATTAAAACTATAAAAATATAAATTTATTATAATTGAATAATTACAATATGCATTTAATTAACAAAGTATCAAATTTTTAAAAAACTGTATAAAAATAAAAGAATAAATAGCAAAAAAAATTAATTAAAATAGAAATTATTATTTACAGCTAATTTCATAATTTATGGATTACTAATAAATTATGATTAAATGTGACTGAAAATATTTTATAATAAAATTACTATAATATATAGTGACTAAATGAGACTAATTCTAATAAAAAATTATTAATGATTCAGGAATTATGAAATTAACTGTAAAAAATTTTTGTAAAAATAAAATTATATAATTAATTATATTTTAGGAGTTTAAAAAAATAAATGATATGATATGATATTATTTAAAAAAGGAAATAATAATGATTTTATAAAGGAATTTTTATTTATAAAAAATAAAATTTATATTTATATCTTAAATTTATTTTAATCTAAATAATTATAATTATAATTTTTTATTATTAATATATTAAATATAAATAAATAAATAAATAGTTTAATCATAAAATATATTATTAAATTATAATTTATAAAATCAAATTTTTTTTTTTCATTCTTAAAAAGAATAACAAAATAATTATTAATAAATAAAATCTGAAAGTTAATAATTTGTATTATAAAATTACATTTTAATTAAAAAATTAATACTTTTGCATTTTATTTTTTCTTTAAAATATTATTAGTTAGTAGTTAGTTAATAAATTATTAAAATAATATTTTCAAATTCATAACAAATCAGATAAATGAGATAGTTATGCAATTTAAAAATATCCTATTTTAATATACTGATTGAGAATTTAAATTACATAGTTAACAAATTGATTGAGATGAATAAAATATCTGGAAAAGCAGTAATGCATTATTGTTCACAAGCCTCTATTTTCGAGAATCTGTTTCTAAGGTGTAGGTATGAGGATCTCCCCTACGTAATTTGCTTCAAACAGAAATTTAAATTTAACAGTTATCATCAATAGTATGATAATTGAGTAAAATAAAAATATTAAAACACACAAACCTGCGAAGGTTTGGCTCAGCGTAATTTACTTGAAATCTCCTTCTTCCCTGAGATCCTCTCTCATTCATCTCAATCATCCATTCTGATTCTACTTGAATAGTTGAAAATTTATTAAAGTACATAAACAATGGAACCAAAATTTCTCCTTTTTATTCTCATACCTCTAACATGCTTCTTATTGTATTTTTCTGATATTCCTACATTTTGTAAACTCTCTTCAGCTTTTTGAGAGTTGTTAGGCTCAGATTCTTTTTGAAAAGGTGTCATAGCTACGGTCATTGACACAGCAGAATTATCAGTCGCCAGGGTCGGAGCTACGACAAGTGCTCGTTGAAACGCGGAAGAAGGAGTTCCGTCAACGACATTCCCACGTGTACACTCTGAATATTTACTTTCTTGTTCCACCTGATCAGTAACAATATCCATTGATAAATTTACGACGTTTTGTTGCAGATATTGAGGAACTTGATCTTGCTGTGAAGCGTAGTTAGTCTCGTCGAGTTTTTGCCTGGAAAAGAGTTTCACTTTATGGGGAATTTTTGTTTGAACTCTCTGGAATTTATAATCGGTATCTGTAATTTCTAATTGCAAAGGTTCTTCTTCAACTAGTTCACTTTATCAATATCAACACGAATAAAATTAATAAAATTAATAAGAAATACTTGTATATAAATATTTGGTTAAAACTTACGATTTGTGAGAACTTGATGCAAAAGCTGAAGTTCTTTGATATTTTTGTTCCTCGTTAAATTCGTTGATCGAAACTAAAGATTTCGGTTTCTTTCGATAAACGGTCAACTTTTGATAATAATCAATAATCAATAAAAATATTTGTAAAGTAATTACGATAAAAATTTTAAATAAGGTAAAATTTTTCATTACCAAATTAACCGGCTTTTTCTTATGTGGAATAATATCCATAGTAATGTCCATGTTGCTCATCAATTCGGAATACTGACTTCCGCTTGCGACTCCATTTGTTAGATCAATTGAGGAACCTATATTAAGGAAACTAAAATTTTAACGTGATGGTATAAAGTTGATGCAAAAAAAAATTATTTTACCATCAGAAAAGAAGCTGGATCCTCGAGTTGATTCAGGATCCACAATGGTGCTTAAAGAATCTGCAGCACCTTGTAATTGTTGGACTAAAGCGATAATTTTATCGCTTGCAGACTAAAAAAGACAACAAACGTAATATATATCCAACTTATTTTGTAGAGAAATATTTTAAAATTTCTTTCTAGATATCTAATCTATTATATATATATATATATATTATTATTATTATAGAGAAGTTGACGTTACTTTAACATTTTCTTTGAAGTTGTCATTCGTTCTTGCTTTTTTGTGTTTCAACTTTTCAAGTTTTGCTCTTAATTGCGCAACAGTCACTCTTAGTTCAATATATTCAGCCTGAAGTTGCCTGGTTTTTATTTCAGATTCACGAAGTTGTAACGCATACGACGTGTTAGACCTATGTGATAATAGAATTAGAAGTTGTTTTTATTCATTTTATTAATTTGGAATTTAAAGTAATAAACAAATCATACTTGATAATATCATTGTTTTGAGTTAAATGCGCGTCAATGACTAATTCAAAGTTTGGATTAAAGAATAGTTAAGATACTAAAGACCAAAAAGAACGGTTAATAACTTACCGAGACGAATATAATTCTGAACGGCTTCTTTCAAAGAACTATCAATATTTTCAAGTTTTTGTTGAAGTGTAAAGTATGGATAAGAATTCATACTTACAGAGTGTCTTGAATTTTGGTTTTGTATTTAAGAAAGTTCTAAATTTAAGAAGCAAGGTGCCGATCTCAATTTCACGTTTTACGTAACAATGAGAGAAATAAAGTTAAAAAACAGATCATCGCTGTCAGAAAAACAGAGATCTTTTGAAGTATGATACTCAATATGTCAAATTTACAATTTTGAAATTGAATGAGATAATTATGCCCAATGTAGTTAAGATATTTCTAATTTCAACTGGTATTAAAGAAATAATTGATACGTGCATTATCATTATGACTCAAAACATAATAATAACATACCACCAACATGGCAAAATTTAATAGTATGGTGAAAAGGAGATTGAAGTTATTGGAGAATTTTATAGTAACCAAAAAACTAAATTAATCGTCCAAAAAATTTTATTGTTAACTTTAATATTGTTTTAACTGATTTTGAAATACAGTATAATAAATACATCATTTGCTGAATTTTACCACTGATGATCAAATTAAATCAAATTATAATGAACATAGAATAATTAAGCAAATAATGATTAATAAAATTATTAAAAATTTAGAATAAAATTATAATTAGCATAAATACAGTTTAACAAGCATTAAAATATATGGTCTTATTATGAAAATAAAATATAAAAAGTTTTTTTTTTAAAAAAGTATTATGAATTTTATCTAAAATTTACTAAAAATATATGGTATAAATAGAATAAGTGTTATAAAAAAAAACCAAATTGTAAAAAAATCTTTTAAAATAATTAAAGTTCTAGATTAAAGATGATGCAGCAATTAATTTCAAATTATAATTTATTGTAACAAAGGTTATATAGATTAAAACTAATTATAACATATGTTGTAATATTAAAAGTTGCAATATATTAATTACGGTTTTTATCTTTATTTTAAATCAAATGATAAAAGTTACATCTAATTCATTTAGGAATAAATTTTTGAAAAAAAATATCAATTTGGTCCTTTTTTTGCAACTCTCATCCCAAATAATTAAGGATTAAAATAAAATAAAATATCTGATTTAATAAATCAAAATTTCAGATTTTTGTTTTAATAAATAATAATATTATTGAAAAATTCTAATTAAAGCTTTATATAAGCCAGCTTAACTTGAGTTAGCTTAATAATTAGCTTGATCTGAACTAAAGATAGCACTGTAATTAAAAAGTTGCAATTAGTAATTTGCAACTTCTTGCAAAATTTATTTTAATATAAAAATTCATAAATAGTTACAACTAGTTAAAAAATTTAAAATTAATTACAGCTCTATCTTTAATCTAAACTGATTTATTATTTCAGTTTGTTTTTGCTTAGCTTAAATCCAAAATATAATAAGCTAAGCCAACTTATAAGTTATAAAATTAGCTTGTTTGACTTATATTATTAACAAAATCTGAAAAAAAATATATTTTGATAATTAGAAAAATTAGAAAAATTGTAAGAAAATTTTTCATTTAAAATAATAGTTTCTGAAACAATTTTCTTTAAGAAAAAATATCTTTAAAATAATTTTTTTTTAAGAAAATTTTCTGAAATAATTCTATTAAAAAAAAATGTTATTAAAATATTTTCTTTAAAGAAAAGTGCTTTCAATACATTTTTTTTTTAAAAAAAATACTTTCAATACATTTTCTTTAAAAAAAATGCTTTTATGATATATGCAGTATAAAACCACTACTTTTTATCATGTAATTTCAAATGAATAAAAAAAAAATTAAGTTAGTATTTTTAAAAAATCTCTTTGTAAAATTGTAGTTAAAATAATACTCTTTTATATAATAAAAAGTTGTTTCAAATTGGATTACTGTAGCATAAAATATATAAATTTTTATATCAATTATTTTAATAAGTTTGAAATGAATTTAATCAGTCTAATATTAACATAATATAAGTTAAAATTTATAAGTTGACTAGAATTAAAAATTAGTATAACTCATATTGATTAATATTCATTTAGATATTACTAATCACTTAAGTAATATAACATAAGATTTGGTATTTTTAGCATATAAATTTTGTTTAATGCATTCGTGAATCTTACTTATAAAAATACCACTAAAGGCATAAAAAATCTAACTTGCAACTGCACAAAATAATAAGGCATTAAAGGCAAAAAATGTAACTGATAAAATTTGAAATTTAGTTAAAAATTGTAAATAAGGATGAAAACGAATTATTGAATTACTATTATTCTAATGATAATTGGCATAATAATAAATTTGAAAATATTATAAATCAAACTTTGCAAACTATTTTTGATGATATGATTAAAAATACAAAAGAAATAACAGTATTTATAAATAAGCAACCATTGATTTATATTAAAAATTTAGAAAGAATACAAAGATGTAAAAAATCAGCTGCTAAAATTATAACAGCTGGTGTTCCTGAACTTAATACTTTTTTCTATACTTCAATAAATATCACATTAATTCGTAAAAGAATTTGCAATTAAATTGAAGTAACTTAAAAAGATCAAAAAAAAAGAGGGTTTTAAATTAGCATTAGAAAATATAAAGAAATTAATAACTGATAAATCTTTAATCCTTCAAGTTAAAACATACTTACAACTTATGATACAATATATTAATTTGTGATTAAATAGTCATAAATACATAAATGCAAGTAAAACCTTTGCAATTAGTATTGAAAAGAAAGATTATCAGGTATAGTTAATTATATCATAGACTCAAAATTTTATTATTTATTGTCAAATTCCAGTATAAATACGTAAAAAACCTCAAAAAAAAAAAGTTTATTAAATAATGAAAATATTCATTAAATAATTTTTGAATATCTTTAAGATATTGATTATGATGTAATAGTGAATGAATTTAATTTTATATTAAACAGAAAATATTTCTAAATGTAGGAATTAAAAGAAAAAACAATTTCTGATAATATAATACATGCTTAGTTAAAACACTTTAGATGTGTTGAAAAAAAATATTTATTATGATAATTATAAAAGATCTAATTTAATTGAATATAAATATGATTTTTTTAATAAAATGGTAAAGTTAGAAAAGTGGATGCCAAAACTATTAAATGATGATATAAGAACTAGTTTTAAATGTAAATAAGAAATATTATATATTAATAATATATAATAAATCTGTTTTTATACTAATAATGGGAAAAAAACTTTTTTAAGACTGGTTGAACATTAATCACTTTGAAAAAAAAAGCAGGAATTAGTTACATGTTAGTTATTTTTTACAGAAATTGATGGACACTTAAATTTGAAGAAAAAGAAGCATGAAATCAGGGATCAATTATAATTGATGATGGAAAACAAAAGTTTAATTAAATAGGTAATAAGAATTAGTTATTTTAAAACTATTTTTATTTATTTATTAATATTTAATATTTAATAATAATTTTCATTAAATAATTGAAAAGGCAATTCCCATATTTGAGAAAAAATATTTTGATAATATTGGTGTATTTGTATTTGATAATGTAACAAGTCATATGATATATACTGAAGATACTCTTATTACTTTACGATAAATCTTAAACCTAGTGGTAAAGAAAAGTTTAAAGATGAATTAATATTTGATAAATCAGTATAGCTAATAATTATATCTTTCAAATAGATAATCAAAAGGTATCAAATTGGTTTTGAAAGAACATAAATTATGGTCTCAAGATAATTTAAAATGTATTTGTGATAATTATAAAAAGTACTCTCTAATTTTAGATATTGTTATGCATTTTGTATACTTTTATTTTAACCTGATTTTTTGATACAGAATTATTGATTAAAGAGGTTATTAAAAATTAGAAATAAAAAGTTATGTTTTGCTCAAAGTTCTATTGTGAACTTAATTTATCAAGATATTATAGGTAGAATTAGAAAGTACAGACTAATACAATAATTAGTACAGTAAGTACAGTTAATACATTATAATAATTAATATAAAAATTAGTATAAGTACAATACAAATACAGTAATTTTATCTAATACATACAAAATTTCAATTCTAGTTATGGAATGCAACCAAATTATATACAGTGAAACCAGTAGGGCAAAAATGGAGGTTTTTGGAACAGAATTCGAAATAGTGAAAATAGTACTTAGAAAAGATTCCTGATCGCCTATGAATCCATTTTAGCTATATGAATCAATTATCAAATTGAAACCTCTAGCGCATTTTGACTCAATTCTAGATGATGATATTGAACTTGACTAGAAATTAACCTATTTGATACCAAGAATTACAATGTTTGATTTAACCATTCTAGCCTGATTTTAATCCCAAATAAT